CGCGCCCGCACCTCCACGTCGATGTCCAGGAAGCCGCCCTCGGCCACCTCGAAGATGAGGCCCATCTTGGTGCCCGAGGTGACCCGCTCGAAGAAACACTCCTCGGCATGCGCGTCGATGCTAACGAAGTAGCCCGAGGCCGTGGCCAGGAGAGCGGCCAGAAGCACCAGCAGTTCAGCAATCGTCACCATGGTGGGGCTGGGGCCGAAGCCAGGACCCGGACTGCGGCCTCCAGAGTCGCCGCCACCGCTACCTCCTCAGCCGCCGCCACCTCAGCTCCGCCCCTTCCGGCTGCGCCACCCGAGGGGGCTGATGCGGGCCCCGCGGATTGGCGAGCGCCGGCGGCTGCCACGTAACGGATGCACGGCGGCCGGCGAGGGTCATGCTCGCTGCGCGCGGCTCAGGCCCGGACGGAGGCCCTGAAGTGCCAAACCGTTCTTCCCCGGCCTTCTGACACCCAAGCCAATGTTCACGTAGCCTTCTCAGGAAAGCAGTAATCAAGAAGTTTCCCCGGCCCGGTAAACGCCGTTTTACGATTGCTCTGAAACATCGTGAACGATTTTGGAGCCAGTGATGGAATGGAGAGAATGGAAAGTAGGGGCTGAAGCCAAGAGCTTTGAGGGGCTCTGCTGCCCCTCCCGTCTCCCTGCTTGTCTGGGCTGGGGAGGGGTGGATGTAGACGCGGGGTGCTGGAAATGCTCGAGATCTTCGCCTAGGTGTGGATACCTGCGGTTTTACGTGGGTTTTTTAAAAATCAAGAAGATGTGTCCCTAAGAGAAATGCACCGTATTTTACTTTAGGTATGTAACCTCTTATCTGCCAAAAGAGTTTGCCTTGTTCAAAGTCCCTCCAAATAGAGCCAGCTCTCTGAGGTCTTGCTGCACTCCCGCACGCCCCCGGCTCGCACCAGCTGCTGCGATTGTCTTTTCTGACGCTGGACCTCCTGGCGTTCTCCTGCTCATTCGTCCCTCACAACCCGTTCGGACACCATCTCTCGTGTCCCGAAATGCCCCTACATACCCTTCTCCCCGATGCTCACCTCTTTCTTCACGCTTGCGACCCAGACCTGTTCTGACCAAATGACTGACTTAGCACTGCTGAGGCACCGCCGTGGTGCCTGTGCAACCGTCCTCTCAGCCCCTACTTCCGGCCGCAAAAAGAGGGCTCCTTGCACGCTAGGTGAGTTCACTGACCCGACCTGGTGTCGAGGACCCTGGACCCTTTCTCCACTTTCGCACATAATTGTGTGACGTGAGGAGATGGGATTTTTCTTATCTGTGAAAAGGGATGATGACACCACCTGCCTGATAAATTCGCGGGATTATTCCTTTCAAAGACCAATAGGCAACAGGGGGCAGTAGCGGCGCAATAGCCAGCCTCCTCTTTAGGCGTCAGGCAACAGGAGCCGCTTCGGGCGAAGGCTGCCAGGGGCGACGGTGTCTTACTGGACCGAGTTGCAGCGGTGAGCCCGCGTTCCCCCACCCGCTGCCTGGCGGAGGTCTGGCTTTGTCTGGCAGCTCAGTCCTGAGAAAAGTGCCAAGGACAGTTTTGTTTCCATCTAGAAATTTCAGTGTTAATCTTCAATTTTGAACTGGTAAAAAATAGTCTAATTCCACCTATCAGGGATTTAAAATGCAGACACTTAGCGTCTCAGTACAACACAAGGCATTTAATACTGTGGCTTAGCTGGGGATATAGCTCAGCTGCACAGTGCCTGTCTGGCAAGCCTGAGATCGGGAGTTCGATTCCCGGTACAAAAAAAAAAAAAGTAAAATTTGTTTGCTGGGCGTGGTGGCGCAC